CGATATTGAGAAATAATCTGAGGTTTGAAGTGAAAAAGTAATACCGTTTTTGAATAGCCGTGAATTCATGTAGAGGATACCTTTTGATATGAAAGAGTATTCATTAGATAGCTTTAATGGAGTACTTTCATTTTACTCTAACAACGAAGTTCGAGTTTATTATAAAAATCACGAGATATTTTAAAAAAACTTCATGTGACACGAATTTCGAATTTATTTTCACATATAGAAAAGCAGCCTCAGGGAAATGTCACACGACTATTATAGAAATTTATATACGGAAATTCCATAGGAAAGGAAACACAGATTAATATTACCCAATCAGAATCCCGTACTCAAGCAAGCCACCCAAAATTAAAAAAAAATTATTATTTTCTTTATAATAACCGGGGGTAAGTATTATATTATAAATTAACTTTTACAAAATAAACATCATCTAATTAAATTATTATTTTTATTTTATTTCATAGATTGTAAGTAATATATTAGTGAACATTTGTATGAATTTCAGGGATCAATAATGTTTTCTTAACATCAAAACTATGCAATGCAATGTGATAATGATATTTGCCTAGACAAAATAGTTAATTACATCAGATATACTATGGAACCCAAAAATTACAGCACATTAGAAATATTTTGAGGAAAGAACAAGGTAAAAAAACTCTAACACCCAGGTTAATGATTATAATACTCCCGAGACTAATAATTCTAATGCCTCTAGAATCATCATTCCAACATCATCTAATCCAAGAACTAATCAAATATCACCTAATTCCAATCGTTGACACAGGAATAGGAGAAACAGATATGGCTCATCTTGCAATTTTCAATAATGGAAGACATTGGTTGAATTGTATGTCAATATACAGATAATCAAAAAAAAGTGACATCTAAGATTATTGATAAATATTTGCAGAAGCGAAATGTGTAACTGTATGTCTAATAAAAAACAATCGCATGCATTGTATAATCATTATATCAAAGTTATTTTCCATTAACAGTTTTATTTTTATTAAAAAAGTACAAATAGATTTGTGACTAATAGTGGGAATGGATATTAATTTATAACTTTAATCCGACATTGTCACGAGCTAAAAATGTAAGACAACTAATTTTACTTGTCCAATTGAAATAGGTTGTCTGCATATGAAAGCCGTGATGGCCTCTGTTCAGATCTTGTTGTGTCAAAGGTGAATGAACATTATCAGGCCAGTAATGTAAATAACGTGAAACATTTGGGAATTAGGCCTCAATATTCGTGTAACACGTGTTTATAAGATGATAGAAATAGAAAGTAGAAGTAGACGAAGCCTTTTATTTTATAAATGTCTTCAATGAGAGATAGGAAAGCTGGTAAAGATATGCGAATCATGATAAACAACACATCTTATTGTTTGTTATGCAAAAAATTTTGTATCATTATTTTCGTTACACTGTATTAATTTTAAACCCTTATCAATTAATCCAAATTTCAAGGCAATCAAATAAGCTATTTTTAAAAAAAAAACCCCCCATCAATAACAAAGTTAAAAAATGTAAATTGTTTGTTACACGTCATTCCATGATATTCTCATAAAAAGAAACTTTATTCATTAAAATGCCAAGTCAAATTTTATACTTTATATTTTTATATAATGTCATATGTTAAACTATTATCATTATTAACACCAGAAAGAGTAGAGGGTGTATTGAAAATTTGTAGTGAAATGTATAATAATGCAATGGCTAATTCTGATAAAGAAAGTATAAAAGATTATTTTTTTTCATTAGTCAAAAAAAACGAGGAGCTTTATGAAAATGAAAAAGAATATTGTAAAGAAAGGATTATTTATGAGGTTGAATTAAGAAATGCAAGAAATAAAGAAGGAAAACCAAGAGAATGTAATGAGTGTAAATTGATAAAATACTCAGATAGATTCTGTGAAGGTTGTATTAGTTTACAATTACAGAATCTTTTCTGTGATTGGACATCTGGAAATGACATAATTGATAATTTTATTCAACAATGTCAAATAAAATCATCTTTGCCAGATTATATTTTAGAATGGATACCTTTTGAGCAATTTGAAGAAGTAACAGAGTTGACAAAAGGTGGATTTAGTTCAATTTTTACTGCTAGATGGGCAAGAGGAAGTATTGTTGATTATGATGAAGATAAAAAGGAATTTAGTTATTGTGGATTGCAAAGAGTAGTATTGAAAAATTTAAATAACTCAAGTAATCCAGAAAGAGCATTTTTTGATGAGGTTGGTTAGTTGCTTATTTAAAACAAAATAAACAATACTGTATTATATTTAATTGATTTTATATTTATTTTCAGGCAATGAATTATTGTAAAATTAAATCAGAAATGATTGTTCAATGCTTTGGTATAACTAAATTCCCAGATAGTGGAAATTATGCAATAATTTTAAATTATTTATCAGATGGAAATTTAAGGGATTATTTACAAAAAAATCATTCAATTTTAACATTAAAAGATAGAATTACAATCTTTAGATATTTATGTGATGCATTAGATGATATACATAAAAAAGATTTAATCCATTGTGATCTACATAGTGGTAATATATTAGTAAATGGAGGTAATTGTTATATTACAGATTTGGGATTATGTGGGCCAGTTGATGAAAAGTCATTAAATAAAATCCATGGAATTATACCATATGTTGCACCTGAGCTACTTAGAGGAAAAATTAATACAAAGAGCACAAAAGAAACTGATATCTATAGTGTTGGGATGTTAATGTGGGAAATATTTGCAGGACATCCACCATTTGATGATAGAGCTCACAACCATCGTTTGATTTTTGATATATGTGCAGAAGGTTTACGACCACCCATATTACCTGAAATACCTGATGATTATGTGCAAATGATGCAGAGGTGTTGGGATGTGGATCCATCAAAAAGACCAACTAGTAGTGACCTGTTTAATTTTGCTAAAAATAAAAGTAACGAAATTTTTAAAAACAAAAGTTTGAAAAATAATAGTAGCAATAATAGTTTAATAAAAAAAATACTCAAAATTTCTAAAATTAAGGAATCGCATTCAAATGCATATCATGCAAGTAGAATCTTAGATGATGAGATTGCTAAATCTAAAAACTTAAAAGTTTATACAAGTAATGATAGTTTGTTAGATACTCTTGATTGTAGTCCTTCTCTCTTAAACATTGAAGGTGAATAAAAATTCCATTATTAATCAATTGGAAATTATTATCCATTAATTATTATTAACATTAATTAATTAATTAACATTAGATTCTAGTAATGATAGCAAAAAGACTGATTTAAGTTTATTCATTATAATTATTTATCTTTTTATTAGAGATGGCCAAATGGCATATAGTTGAACACTATACAATACTATACATATAGTGCATATAATGCGTATAGTACATATAGTAGTGTTGAAATTTGATCGGGTGATTTTCAAATGTAATACCATTATAATAAATGTGAAAAAAAAATTTAATTTGGCTATTATAATAAGCATAAATCTTTAATTATTAAATATTATAAAAATCAAAACCACTTTCATTTTTATAAAATTTTCATCAGCTTCTTTGATTAAATTTTCATCAATTTCTCAATTGTGTTGTAATTTATCTGTACACTAGTATTTGAAGTATTAAAATGTTCTCCAAAATAATTTCTTTTAATTTGAATTGTGGCATTTGGACAAAGGCTTAAATGTTTTTCACATCTAGATATTGAACTAGAACGTTGATATTTTGGACATTCGCATATAGATATTTCAAAACATAATTGCTTATAACCATTAACATTACCAATATGTTTAAAATGTTGCCAAATTGCACTTTGGGCAAGTTTAAAATATATATATTGTGAGAAGAGTATTAATTAATTTTTACGTGTAACATTACATCTATTATTTGGCAATAACCTAAACAGGGATTGATTTACATTTACTATTACTATACAGTAGTCGTGTGACATGTCCGAAAATTTCCGGTGATCTACACAATTTTTTATTAATATTAATAAAATTTCGAATTGAATGTCTTCACACCCTCGTTTGATACCCTTGTCGTGTAGCAATTGCCACCAAATTTGATACATAACTTCTTTGTCATATAAAGTATATCATTGCTCTTCCTACTGATATTGCTTCAGCTTCTCAAGGAATTCTATTATTTAATAAATGGACATACGATGATGTAGAAGTAAAAGATATATCATTGACAGACTACATACAAATTCGTAATCCAGTTTATTTACCGCATACAGCTGGTCGTTTTTCCACAAAAATATTTAGAAAAGCACAAGTAAATAATGTTTTTCTTTTTAATGTTGATAATTAAAAGGATCAAAAATCTCATTACTTGTTCAAAAATCTTTGTTGAACGTTTGACCAATTCACTTATGATGCATGGGCGTAATAATGGAAAAAAAATTAATGGCAGTTAGGATTGTAAAACATGCATTTGAAATTATTCACGTTTCAACTGATCAAAACCCTATTCAAGTTTTGGTTGATGCTATAATTAACATTGGTCCGCGTGAAGATTCAACTCATATTAGTAGTGCAGGCACAGAAGCAGTTAATGTTTCACTCTTCGTAGAGTGAATCAATCTATTGCATTATTAACAATTGGAGTAAGTTGTGGACATTTCTTTTACAAAATTTTCTATTGATTATGATTATTTGAATATGTTTCTAAATATATTATAATGACAACATGGTAATAATAGATACGTGAATCAGCTTTCAGAAATGTTAAAAGTATTGCCGAATGTTTGGCCGATGAATTAATTAATGCAGCTAGTTTGTATTTCATTTCATTTTTATTGGTCTTAATTTAAAAAAGTAAAAAAATTCCAATTAATGAAAATTTATGTTTTAATTAGAGGGAAGTTCAAATTCATATGCTATTAAAAAGAAAGATTAATTAGGTATTTGCTATTTGACCTATTTATTGTTTTTAAAAAAATTTAATATTAATACTAATGGAATACATTTTTTGAACGTGTTGCCAAGTCTAATCGTTAAAGATATAACTATTAATCAGTATTATTTATTTACTATAAATAAATTATCTAAAGGTTCTCGAACTTTCTAATTAATTCGAAATATTTGGATTAATGTGATGTTTGCATCACAACAAGATTACGCCGTCAAAAAAAAAATTTATTATTGTGTACTGTATATCAATTTCAGAAAAGTAAAAACAAAAAATTACTCCCAAAAATTAAGTTTAAAAAACAATAATTTTTTGCTAGCCAGCTCATATCCGCTCCTATTATGTTCAAGATTCAGCAAAGCGGAAAAGATATGCTATTACTATTCCTTTACAACGGTCGCGTCTACTTCGTTGACAGTTCATTTCATCGACAGTTCATTTCGTCGACAAACACTTCACTGACAGTTAGTTTACATGTGATGATGATATTGTCACTGACTATTTTGGTGATTATAATTGATGATAATTATTGTTTTCAATAGTGCGAATCAGACGAATTGACAATATGCTAATGAATAGATAGTATTGAGATTTCAAAACTCGGGAAATATTTATTTTTCTTCAAGATGCATGAAATTCAGTCATTAATATGCTTGCAAACTAATTAGTATCCAAATTTTCTTTTTATCTAAATTTCCTGATGCTTCGGAAATCATAATTCCTATAATCAATGCGTATGTATGTTACTATAAAATCATATGGATTGTGAATCAGACCCTTTTACAATGTGTAAAATCTCAGATTTTTAAAAGAGAATGTCGCTTCTAAAAACTCTCTAAAAGAAAAAGGATAACGCAGCAGCGTAGTACTGGTTCCAACTAATTTATTACGCTAATAATAATGTTGGTTTCCAAAACTAAAGAGCTTCGCAAGTCAAAAGGTTTCGCCATAAGTCGAAACTAGTTTTGATTTTTGACTATCGACTTTTGATTTAATTTTGACATATAACTTTTGATTTTATTTTTGACTTTCGCTTTTCAAAATAGTTTTGGAAACCAATGTTAGCTAATAGCCAACCAACCAACTAATGATTAGGCGACATTTCTACAATTTTAGTTTTTCATTTTTCAATTAGGAAGAATAATACAGATCATTCCCGTTTAAAGTTGGCACCTGTAATGTAAATTACGGTATTACGGTGTTGCAACTAACCACAAATTACGGTTGTGTTGTAATGTTGTGTTGCAATGTTGTAATATTTGTTAAAAATATTTATGTGATTGTTACATTCAAATAAAAAGTAGATCACGATCCTTACTTTTCTAGTTATATCAATCTTTTTTTTTCCCACGAGTATGTTTTATGCATTTTAAAAACCATTTCTTTTTCATTTTTTTCTTATAATAATTAAAGATGAATTTTGCTACTGATAATAAAAATAAACTTGGTCCAAAATATAATAATATTTTACACGTGATAACCGTCTTGGTGATAGACATTACCAAATTACGTGCAAGCTATGTTTGTCATTTTTTAAAGATGCCCGACCGTATATTTTACGTTCTCATATAGTTTCTCAACGTTCAAAGGTATTTGAAACCATCAAAAATGAAGTAAATGAATTGATGTAATGAATAGATAAAACAATTCAATTTTTTATGTTTGTCTTGTTCTAATAATTACATTTTAATAAATATCATAATAATAATGTTTTTAAAAATGAGACAATATAAATAGAAAATCGGGTCTAGCTGCATCGTGAATACGTTGCAACTCTATGTATAGTTTTTATGTAATAGTAATATCCAAATTTGCAGGTATGTTGCAATAAAAGAATTGTAATGATTATCGAAAGTTCCAAATTATGTAAAAATGTGTGTCCCGGATGAATATAGAATTATTATATCGTTGTATGTATATTGCAATGATGCAAGAACAATAATTATCATGGGAAATTTACAAATGTTATTAAACTACTTGTTTTTTCCGTATATTTTCTTTCAAAATAAAAAATGCCTCATCTTACAAATTAAAGTTTTATTAATCAAATTGGCTTTACATATATATGAGTTGTGCTAAATTGATGTTTTTTCGAGTTTTTGACTTTGAATTCAGTAGTAATACATAATAATATTAATGATGTGCTTGAACTATTTTTAGTGTCCGAGTTTGAAGCAACATTGATTGATCAATATTGGTACTTCGAATGATCTTTACATAGTACATACATAAGACAGGTTTTGTAAGTTTTAATTTGTTTTCTATTTTTATCACTTAGATCTTCAAAAAATACTGAAATTTTTTATTGATGAATCGCGATAAATCGATCACTAGAGTTTGGTGATGATGAAGCTGTTCTTTAAATAATGCTATTTTCGTTTTTTTTCATTTACGTCCTTATTAAAAATGTTGTACGAAAGAATTATTTGTCACACGCCACTCAATTTTCCTTGAATATAGCGATAATAATAAATAGTAGTAGCTGACATTTTCCTAAGTCATAGTACTAGCAATTACAGTAGCAATATAGATTATAAATATAATTATTGTTTATATTGTCTTGTTAGAGAAATAAGACCTATATTTAAACTAGTAATTTGAATAAAATGGATAAAATGAATAAAACAAATAAAACGAATAATCCAAATAAAATGAATATAACGAATAAATTTTTTAATTCGAATAAATTTTTTTAATTCGAATTAGAGATCAACTGTATTACAAATAGAAGCCCTATTCCCAAGTATCCAAATAAATAAAACATAGAATAGAGCTTTGTATATTTGATAGTTCAACAAATGAATATTTTTCTAAGTTTGCGTTGGGCATATACAACTCCTTTCTTTAGATTCAGAACCTTTCTTTGGCATTTCAAACATTTTTTATTGTTCCAAGTAAAAAAAAGTATTAATTATAAATAAAGATGGAAAGAAAATTTTAAAATTTATTAACTAATCTAATACATATCTGATGCAGAATCTTTTGACCACCTTCGTCCTCCAATGAGACGATGCAATGGAAAAAATTCGGAGTGGAGGACGAGGAAGTTTGAATTTTATAAAATCGCATTTGAGGTTTGCTCACTTTTCCGAAAAATCTCATCCAGAAAGGATAGTGAATAGATGCTTGTATAGCGTGGAAAGGATAATTAACATTGAATCTGGCGCCTAAATTCAATATTGTTTTTTGAAAATGATTTTTAGCAATCAGGATAGTAAATAATTTTATTTTCTCCTACCTCAGGTCTCAATGACTATAGAAAAATTGGGTTCCTTAAAAGCTCCATTTCTGTATTGGTGCTTCATGTGGAACCTAAACCTAAGATCCGAAGCGTTTCGGCTGAGAAGACAAAAGCTCCCGAGTATGTCTTTCATTTGATATGTTTCGAGGGCTTCACAAATACGGAGAGCGATCAGGTTGATTCATTGCATTGATTCGATTTAAACCATATAAATAATTTGATTTGACTTGGCTCGAATTTAATTCAAATATATACCATATGAAATAATTTGAATTCTGCATAATTTTAAAAGAGTTGCCTTTAAATTTTGGGGTGGGTGTTCGGATACAAAATTCTGATTGGCTAATTTGAATTTCATGCGCGTGAATTCCAAAAGTCATGGATCTATACACATCTAAACTCGACAAGTCGAAGATTTATTTATATTATAAAGTACTTTAAACAATTGATTGCTGCGTCCGACTTATCGAGTTTAGATGTATATACGTATAAATAACAAAGATCTGCATAAAATTTAGCCAATTGTATATACAAGCAATTTAACCAATCACGCACGATATTGGCCAAATCAACCATTTCTCTGCACTGTAGTAGTAGTAGGAGCAAAAAAAGTTTCCTTACAAAAAAAAAGAAAAAAAATGAACGAAGGTATTTTTTCTTATAGTTTTTTTAAAATTTCAAGTAATTTTATATCTTAATTTAATAATTTGCTTTATAATAAAATAATATTTAGCAAAATTTTATCATGGTAAATATTATAAATTAACTTGAATAGTTTTTATTAAATCATCATCTAATTAAATAAAATCATTTTTTATTTCTTTACAATGATCAGGGAGTAAGTATCATATTATAAATTAAACTTTACAACACAGAATAAACTTTATTAAATCATAAATTATTTTATTTTTTATTTCTTTATAAATAATTAGTTGGTAAGTGTTATATTATAAATTAACTTTTACAACATAAATAAACTTTATTAAAACATCACCTAATTAAATATTTTTATTTGCATTTCTTTATAATAACTAGGGAGTAAGCATTGTATTATAAATTAACTCTTACAACACAAAATGAACTTTATCAAACATTACTGATTAAATAAATTAATTTTTTATTTCATCATAATAACCAGAGAGTAAGTATTTATATTATAATTAACTTTTACAACACAAAATAAAACATCATCTAATTAAATAAGTTTATTTTTATTTTTTTATAATAACCAGATCGTAAGTATTATATTATTAAATTACTCTTACATCATAAACTTTATTAAAACATCATCTGATTGAATAATTTTATTTTGATTTCTTTATAATAACCAGTTTGTAAGTACTATATTATAAATATTATAAATCAACTTTTACAACACAAAATGAACTTTTATTAAACATCATTTAATTAAATAAATTGATTTTTATTTCATTATAATAACCAGCATGTAAATATTATGTTCCAAATTATAAATTAACTTTTACAACACATACTTTATTAAAACATCATCTAATTAAATATTTTTATTTATTTATAATAACCAGATCGTAAGTATTATATTATAAATTAACTTTTACAACACAAAATAAATTTTATCTTCAACATCATCTAATTAAATAATTTTTTTTTTATTTTATAATAACCAGTTCGTAAGTATTATATTATAAATTAACTTTTACAACACAAAATCAATTTTAATAACATTACTAATTAAATATTTTTATTTTTATTTCTTATAATAATAACCAGATTGTAAGTATTATATTATAAATTAACTTTTACAACACAAACTTTATTAAAATTTGAATAATTATTTTTACTTCTTTATAATAACTAGATCGTAAGTATTGTATTGTAATTAATTTTTTATAACATAAAATAAACTTTATTAAAGCATAATCTAATTAAATAAATTTATTTTATTTCTTTATAATAACCAGTTGGTAAGTATCATATTGTAAATTAACTTTTAAACACAAACTTTATTAAAGTTAAATAAATTTATTTTTATTTCTTTATAATAATCAGCTGGTAAGCATTATATTATAAATTAATTTTTACAACACAAAATAAACTTTATTAAAACATCACCTAATTAAATAAAATTTTTTTTTATTTCTTTATAATAACCAGTTGGTAAGTATTATATACAACACAAAAAAGTGTGGTGGACATTTAAATCATGTAACCAATGATATTATTGACTAACCTTGAATTTTGTCAGCTAATAATTGTTACCTCTGAGATTGAAGAACCACTTCAGAACCACACCTATTACTCACTTTTATAGTTGGAGTTTTTAAAAAAAATTTCAAATTGTTTATTATTATTGAAAAATGCATGTAACATTTGAATGTCCACCATGACAAATAAAGCATCATCTAATTAAATTATTTTTTTTATTTCTTTATAATAACAGGGGGTAAGTATTATATTATACATTAACTTTTACAAGACGGAATAAATTTTATTAAAGCATCATAAATTTGTTTTTCATTTCTTTATAAAACTAGCTGGTAAGTATTATATTATAAATTAACTTTTACAACACCAAATAAACTTTATTAAACATCATCTAATTAAACAATTTTATTTTTATTTTTTTATAATAACCAGTTAGTAAGTATTATATTATAAATTAACTTTTACAACATGAAATAAACTTTATCTAATTAAATTTATTTTTTATTTCTTTATAAACCAGCTGGTAAGTATTATATTACAAATTAACCTTTACAACAAAAAATAAACATCATCTAATTAAAAAAATTTATTTTTTATTTCTTTATAATAAAGCATGCAAGTATTATACTTTATATAACTTTTATAATACAAAATAAACTTCATCTAATTAAAGATTTTATTTTTTATTTTTTTTTTTTATAATTAGGGGGTAAATATTATAAATTAACTTTTATAATAAACATTATCTGATTAATAAATATATTTTTGTTTCTTTATAATAACCAGATTGTAAGTATTATATTATAATTAACCTTTACAACACAAAATAAACTTTCATCTTATTAAATAAATTATTTTTATTTCTTTATAATCAGATAGTAAGTATTATTATACTATAAATTAACTTTTACAACAAAATAAACTTTATTAAAGCATCACCTAATCAAATAAATTTATTTTATAATAACCAGATTGTAAGTATTATATTATTATTTCTACAACACAAAATAAACTTTTATATAACTAAATAAATTATTTTCATTTCTATATCATAACCAGGTTGTAAGTATTATATTATAAATTAACTTTCAATACAAAATAAACATCATCTAATTAAATAAATTTATTTTTTATTTCTTCATAATAACCAGCTGGTAAGTATTATATCATAAATTAAAAAAATAAACTTTATTAAAACTTCATTCAATTAAATAAGTTTAATTTTTATTTTTTATAATAACCAGGGGGTAAAGTATTACATTATAAATTAAACTTTTAAACAAAATAAACATCTAATTAAATGAACTTGTTTTATTTTGGTTTTTATTTCTTTATAATAACCAGCTAGTAAGTATTATTATAAATTAACTTTTACAACACAAATTAAAACATCATCTAATTAATAAAATTATTATTTATTTCTTTATAATAACTAGCTGGTAAGCATTATATTATAAATTGACTTTTACAATAAAAAATAATTTTTATCAAAGCATCATTCAATTAAACAAATTTATTTTTTATTTCTTTATAATGACTAGCAATTGAAGAAGGTAAAACATTATATCATAAATTTATTTTTTTATAATTTTTACTTGGAACAAATACCTATTTTTATTATGTTAAAAATAAATGCTATTTTATTTTTAATTTTTTTATAATAGACATTACTAAAAAGTTTAAAGAAAGGAAAGAAAAATATGGAATCTGTTCTGTTTGTGCAAAATATAATACTAATTACCAGTGGTGTCAATCATGTGATTCCAAATTGTTGGCTCAAAGTTGGACTACCAGTGGTAATGAAAAATTGGATAAAATAATTAGAACTACACAGCTTGAAGCAAAAGGATTTAATAGTTGTTATTACCTTGAATGGATTCCTTATGATCAACTCAAAATTGAAAAGGCAGCAGGTGAAGGTGGTTTTGCAACAGTGTATATGGGTTGCTGGTCAAATGGTCCTAAATATGTTCAGGAGGGTCAAAGATATTATTCTACGAATGGTCGTGTAGCATTAAAAAAGTTTAAAAACTCTCAAAATCCTGAAGAGTTGTCAAAGGAGGTAAATAATTTGATATAATTTAATTGATTTTTAAATAATATATTAATATATTAAATTTTTATTAATTTTGTAAAAGCTTCAAAATCATATTAAATTTATGGGACCTTATCATAAGGGCATTGTTGACATTTATGGTCTTTCACAAGATCCCAACACAAAAGAATATGTTTTAGTAATGAGATACACAGACAGTGGAAGTTTTAAAGATTATATAAAATCAAAATCAAATTATACAGGATGGAGCAACAGAATTACAATCCTACATAGTATTATCTTAGGTTTAAGCACCTTTCATAAAGAAGGACTTATGCATTGTGATCTTCACAGTGGTAATATTTTATATTTTCAATATTTAGAACAGCAGGTAATGATTGCAGATTTAGGGTTATCAAGCCCAGCTGATCAAGTAAAATCAAATAAAGATGATAAATTTGGAGTTCTGCCATATGTTGCACCAGAGGTTTTAAATAATGGACCTTATACACAAAAATCTGACATCTATAGCTTTGGGATTTTAATGTCAGAAACATCAACATATCAGCAACCATTCAAAGATCAACCACATGATCAAGATCTTGCTCTCAGGATCTGTGGTGGCTTAAGGCCTAGTTTTTCAGATAATACTCCAGAATGTTATATTAAGTTAGCATACAAATGCACAGATGCTGATCCTGAAAAAAGACCAACAGCAGATGAAATTTTAAAAATTATTACTTTTTGGAAAGATGCAATTGAATCTAATATTTCTAGTTATTCTGAAGAACAGCTTGATGAATTAGAAGAAGTAAAAAAAATATTTAAGAAAACAGGTAAAAAACCCTTCAATCCTTCAACAATTATGGCAATTGTTCATCCAAATGCTGTTTATACAAGTAGATTATTGAATTTTACAAATCTTCCTCAACCTGTAAACTCCAATAAAGTTACAATTATTAGTAATAACAATGGTAATTATCTAATTTATTGTTATATATTTATTTAATCTTAATTATTTATTATTAATGATATTTTAAACTATAAACAATTATAGAATCTAAACAAATTGAATTAACTATGTCAGATTCTAAACAAATTGAATTAACTATACCAAATAATTTATGAATAAATTTTATTTATCTGATATTGAAATTTTTACATTGGTTTTTATTATTATTAAAAAAAAATTTTTAATGATTAAAGCTAACCATCCTGTGATTTAACTTAATTGAAGTGACCTATCACCATGCCTCTTATCATTATTCAGTATTATTTATTTATTATTTTATTAACATTTTTATATTCAACATTTATATACATATACTGTTTTAACATTTCATCATCTATAAACATTATAAATAAGGCCGTTCAAATTTAATTATTTGTTTAACATCCCCCAGCATAGTGGAAATTTGAAATGTTACACTAATTTTTTATATTGTGCAACGTAGCTTTACAATACACGGCAAACATTCTGGCAATAAAAAGTAAGTGATAAACTGGATTTGAATTTGATCCGAACTTGATCTCCAATTTAGAGAGGTAACAACTATACACTGGCGAAGTTTCAGAAGCAATGAGTTCTGTACAACATTTCGTGTAACAACAAACTTCCACTATGCTCATCCCCCCTAGATTTTCAAAATTCCAAACAATTATAAATCACGTAATTTTACTGTGTAACTAAATAAATGATTTTTGGAAAAAAAAATATACCATTTACGCATTTTATTGTGGGAGTATATGATAAAAAATTGATGCTAGAGGTTGCAATAACAATTGGCGAAGATAATAATTTTGAGGATTTATTATTTGAAACAATTGGGTATTCTACTGAACAAATGGTTATTGCAAAATTCTATAATCCATTAACTAAAAATTGGACAAATGTTAGAGATTTTAGTACAAAATTATCTTTGTGTAAGACTTTCAATCCTTGTCAAGTTCAATTTACTCTTGAGGATTTTGAAAGTGTTTTGCCAACAACAAAAAAACAATTGAACCATTAAAAATCATTATGGAGAGCTCCAAAAAATTAAAGTTTACATCAAAACATTCTGTTACATCTAAAAAGGATAAATTATATAACAATTTAAATAATGTTTTGGAACAACTATCACTTGGTTGGATTAATCGTTTCCATGAATCAATTGGAAAATTTTTTACTAATAGTTTGGCTAATTTATTATGGTATATTGATCTTCATCATGAAAATTTAAAGATTCATGAATATAAAATTCCAGATATTTTTTCACTTTGCCACAGTATCAAAATAACAAAAAATATAATCAATTTTATTTTACAAGTCATCATAAAAAAGAACAACTTAAATCAGACAAACTTGAGAATTTTGTTAAAGCAATTGGATCATCTATTTCTCAACCTTGGGCAAGTAAAGATATTTGGGAAGAGTTTATTGGAATAGTTTTTGATTTATGTCATATTGTGAGAGAATATGTTAAATATCTGAATTCTGTTAATAATCAAATGAAAGATATCCACTCTAGTGATGAAATGTTATTAACAATACTGAAATTGAAAGTAGAAAAAGTCAAGAAATTATTGATGAAAAATTTAATGAAGTCTCTTGTTTACTTGAACATTCTGACAATTATGAATTACATTTTCTTGATAATTATCTTCCAAAAAAGGCTAAACATAGATTTAATTTCATCAAAGAAATGATTCTAAGGGTACCATTCACACTTTACCATTATAATCATGGCAATTATTTGGGGACATTGAATTTTATTTGGAAAATTCCTGAAGACATGTTAGCAAGGGATAAAAGTTCTGAATTACAAATGATCACTTTAGCAAGTGAAATGACCAAAATTTTTACATGAAAAATGAAAAAGAATATTGCAGATTTTTATTTTTATTTTTTTTATTTTAGTATTCATTAATTGGTAACTTATCACCTTCAGTGTTGAATGTTCTTTACCAAGATCTAGCTGGAGATTCATCAACACCTCCTAATGAAATTTCCAAGGAGGTAAAAGAGAGAATCCATGTCATGTTAGATATACAAGATGCTGAAATAGTATTTGATTTACATGTTAACAATGGATTAAAGGGTACAGAGTTTGATATATTTTGGAATGAACTGTATGAATACTTTAATGAGGTATTTATAACAAAATTTGATATGCATTCATACTCAGATTGTTAATATAAATAATTTATTCATAGTAGTTTATTCCATCAGTTCATGATCGAAGGTCATCATCTGTTTATAATTACCACTAGCCATGTCTATTTCAGATTTAAAACATATAATTATATATCTTCTTCAGCAAAAAATGGACTTTATTTCCTAATATTTATATTCCATCAGATGAATACATTCATTTACAATTTTGGCCAGGTAATCCGTTTGCAAATTCTGCTATAATATATACTGGTAGGTTTAATATAATTTATAAAGTCCAAAGTAGTCTTTTGAGCAAACATCACCCAGATGCACATTTTTGTGCTGCATTATTTCATTATACTAGATTATTTGCAATCTAATATAAAGAACATGTTAGCTTAATTTTTGCTGATGATAAGCATAAGATACCAATTGGGGAAGGAATAGAAACTTCCAGCGGAGTTTGAAATAAAAAATCACTCATACCAATTGGAGCACAATTAACTTCATCAGACCATGACTTTACAAACTTTTCTCTCACACCATCAGCCACACTTGTTTGTGATATTCTTAATGATATAGGAGATTCTTTTTATAATGGTCAAGTTTTTGTTAACTTTAAAGACACAATTCTTCATGCAACAGAATTTTACAATACAATATTAGAACAATATATTCTGAAATACCTGAAATGTTACTGCTTTATACTGATGGTAGTCCTGATCACAGAACAATTTTTGGTTCTGTACAAATTTCACTTATTTGTTTATTTCTACAAGGAGATTTTGATTTTTTTGCCAGTGTAAGAACTGCTCCCTATCACAGTTTGATGAATCCTCCAGAAAGAGTTATGTCTATACTTAATTTGGCTTTACAAGGAGTATCTTAAAAAAAAAAATGAGATGGATGAAGTATTAGAAAACAATTTAAAAGGAAAAAATACATTAGAAGAAATAAGGACATCAGCTAAAAAAAATAATTTGTTAAAAATTGGCATAAAAGAATCCATTAAACCAGTTCAGGATTTATTAAATGAAAGAACAAAAAGGCTGTCACTAAATAAAAAAAATTTTATCATCAAAAGGCCTGCTTTTAGAATTGAAATTGATCAAATTTTTCAGGTAATTCTATTAGCTAATATTTTTATTTATGAATAGATTATCTCAATTTTAATAATATTTTTATATTTTTATAGAACATTCATAAAATTGATAGTACATTAACTCCTGATAAAACTTCAGCATATGTTTTACAAAAACATGATTCTTTACAATTATTTCTTAAAAGCCATTGTCATATTAGGACATCTTCATTTCAAGTATGCTTTAATAACTTGTCTGTATTTAATATATAATTTAGTTAATCTAAATTATTTATTTATTTTGTATCAGATAAAAAAATATATAGTTGGCTTGGTCTAAAGACCTCCTAAATTTTGGGCAAAATTTAAAAGTATAGAAGTCACTTTCTGTCCTACTTTTTAAAAAAAGGGTCTGGGACACTTTACCAACACCCACTTTACCAACAAGACACTTTACCAACAGGACACTTTACTGACAGGACACTTTACTGACAGGACACTTTACCAACAATCAAAGTAAAGTCAAACTTGACATAGAAATGGTCTTGTGAGGAACACCACAACCCCCACAGAAACCACAAGATTGTAATCGTGAAATATGGATTCAAACAGTATTAAATAACATTAGATCAACTATAAAGTTTCTTCAGGACATTGCCCATAATATTTCATTTTAAAATTTTTTTTTAAAAAATTTTTTTTGGTGTATAATATTAATTAATGTGTCACAATAAAAGTTTTTTGTAAATGATTGATAAATAAATTTAATAAAAAAATAACATGAATATGCAATTTTTATCAATTTCATCAGACAAAAAAAATATATTACACATGTATCTGTATTGTATTTTTATGAACTTGTTTTTGATGCAAAGTAAGGATAATAAGTGATGTTATTAGTTATGACTTATGGCTGAGTTTTTCACTGCACAACAAACCAATTTTTAGCTAGTTATCCAGGTCTTCACACAGTCCTTGGCAAATTGTTGACACAATACTTGCTGGTAAAGTGTCCTGTTGGTAAAGTGTCTTGTCAGTAAATTGTCCTGTTGGTAAAGTGTCCTGTTGGTAAAGTGCCCTGTTGGTAAAGTGCCCTGTTGGTAAAGTGTCCTGTTGGTAAAGTGTCCTGTTGGCAAAGTGTGTTGTCAGTAAAGTGGGTGTTGGTAAAGTGTCCTGTGGTAAAGTGGGTGTCCAGGTCCGAACTCTATGCCATCAACAGTTAATATTCTTAAATCAATTTTATGACTTGTGGTAGCTTTGGAAACTGTTTCACTCCTACAATCATTCATAAACAACAAATCAGACTCACAATTGAGAACTACTTCAAAGTTAACAAAAATACTCACCATTTCAAATCTAAAATGGGATTTGTCATCTTCATGATATACTCCAGTTCCGTTAATTGCTTATTTCCTCCCTCTTTATCAACAAAAGTATGAGGATTTTCTAAAAGCATGTCAATTCTAATAATGAAAAAGTTGGATTTAAGCAAGCAAAACAAACAAAATAATTATATACAAAAGACATATGATAACATACACCAAATAATATATCTTTATAACTTGCCAATGCTTATCATCACCAGGTCATTCTTTTAGTTCAACAAGTATATATGCACAATCCAATATCTGTACACAGCACAAAACTAAAAAAAGTGAAATTAGTTATGTAATATACAATACAATAACAAAACACACTTTTTACTTCTATTTTAATGATATCAGATAAAATCTCACCCTCAAGTTTTTTTATTTTTAAATTTATATGATTTGAAACATTTTGTTTTAAATCTTCCCAATCTTGACCAAACCAAGCATGCATTCCTCTATCAAATTCAAAAGACAAATCAATTATTGATGAAAGCCCAAGCCTATACATACATGTATACATCAGTGGTTAGTATTGTGATAAATATTAATAATAATTAATAATAATAAACATAATACACCTTAACAACTCAAAGTCTTTCCATCTACTTTAGCTAATTTCTTGGCATTTTCTATTGTTTTACATGTCATTTTTAATAGAGTATTGCAAGTGTGCAATCCAAGTTTCCTAATTAATGGGTTATTTTTATTTTTATGTTCAACACACAGCCTACCTGCTGGCTTTAAAGACTAGTGCCGTAAATTATGATGATGGTAGTAATTGTATCTACAGCATATAAAAAGTGGTTGCAATTACCTTTGTGACCATTTTTGCAACCATACTTTTCCCTTTTTTTGGATTACAGCACTAATATTTAGCTGACTTACAGTTGATTCCACTATCTTACAGCCTACCTGCCTAGATAGTTCCTTTATTTGACACAGCCTACCAGCTGACTTATGGTCAATATTACTTTTATCTTACAGCCTACCCACCTGGATAAAAGATCCCTAGAATATGCAGCTATTTATATCCCAAAGGCATCCCCTTGAGATGTATCTCAATAGTTAAGATTGTGGTTTCTTGCTGAGTTCAGCAAGGTTCTTTTTATCAGTTTGTTAGTTAGGTCAAAGGTCAAGATTTATCTTGAGTAAATGTTGTGTGTTTTATTAGTGATAATATTTTTATTACAGTATTATTAGAATGTTAGAAAGGTGTTTATTATTAGATCAATTAATTAAAAGATTGTTATATAAACATGATCATTCCAACTTGGTCTAAAACAGCATAATGGAAGTTTGTTGTTACACGAAATGTCATACAGAACTCATTGCTCCTGAAACTTCACCAGTATATAGTCGTTACCTCTCTAAACTGGAGATCAAATTCAAATCCAGTTTATCACTATTACTATGTTGTCTAAAACTGAGTCTTTTTATATCTCTTAGGGTATTACAAATAACATGACTTTTACTCTGTTTTGTCCAATAAAATATGCTTATTAATGCTAAATAAATATTTGGGTCAACTGAACATTACAAAATTATGATTAATAATTCGCAATAAATATTTGCATCAGCTGAATAAATAAATAAATATAAATATAGGAATAGGAATAGGAATAATGTTTAGTGTAACACTGCATAATGTGTGGCGCAGTCGTTATACAAAACATAGATATATTGGTAGTCACGTGACTCGCTCAGTAAGCTGGTTTGATTTGATCGGCAAAGTGGGGAATCCATTGAAGATGATTGCTATAATGATACTTAGTTGCTTTAAGTTGAGTACTTTTAATCAATTCATCTAATGTTTCATTGCCACTAGTCCATCCTCAGTTAATAGCTTGGGTCACATGATTGATACCATGCCCAATTAGTGTTATATCTATTGTAGGTTGGGCATTCACCATTTTCTCCTTTTCTTTTTTTTTGAATATTCATCATCATTATTTTTGTCAATAGAAGCATCAGCATGATCCTTATTTTCATCCAAAGTGTCTAAAATTTTATTTATTTCCATTAAAAGAAATTTTTTATTTGTGTATCCGAATTCACCTAATTACAGCAATTTGGCATTATGTAAATAAACTCAGCATGATGCCCTAAAAAGTCTTAAAAGTTGTAAACTGTAAAAACATAATGCATGCAGTACAAAGTCACCAAATCTGGAAACTAAACAAAAATCAATATACTGTATACAACTATATACTACTTTGAGTAGAGTTTCTATTTGAATAAGGTTTATTTGTTTATTTGTTATCATTATGAATGAGTTACATTGAGAGTTTATTCAAATAAAATGGTAAAATGAATAAAATGAGTAATTCAAATAAAATGAATAATTCAAATAAAATGAATAATTCAATAATTTTTTTTTATATTTAATTTTTATAAATTATTCAGATACATATAATAATATTATTAAATTTAATTTTATAACATTATTAACAAATTTATTGAGAAATACACCACTTCAACTTGTTAATGCTATAAAAAAAATGAAAACATTGTTTTGAAAAGAAATAGCATAATACACAATATTAATATGTATGTTTATGATGTCTATTATAGTGTGCATATTTAATATCTAAATTCTAAAATAAATAAAAAATTCCAAAGGATTGTGAGAAGTTATTACTTTTATATAATATCACTATTAAATATAAATAAATAATTATCTATAATTTTATTTCTCAAGCTATTTAATATTACGTCTGTAGTAGCCAATAAATAGCAAATAACACATAATAAAATGTCAAGATTTAAAATTCATCTAGTATATCTAAATCTATCTGTTGAGAATCTAAAAAAAATATTTATCACAAGAGTGGACATTAATATTAAATTAATAAAAAGTAAAAGTAATCAATGATTAAATGTTATATATTAAACTTAATTTTGGTCTGGGTCAAACAGGAATTTTTGTCACTGGCCTATCTATGAAGTTTGCAGGGTCCTAGCATGCCCCATGTATATTCAAAATTTTAATTGGTCTACAAAAAATGACGCAATCCAGGAATCAATAAAGAAATGAATAAAAGAAATGAATAAAGAAATGAAGATGATACTAATATTAACAATAGTAAGAATATTCACCGTCTGGTTTTGAGTACGTTCCATATATGGAAGTTATATTAATAGCACAAGTGTGGCGTTTATCCCTTGTGGCATTGCCACGCTTAAACTCATCCAATCAACTTTTGCCAACACCAATCTTTTCACTAAATATAAATATTCAATTTAAAAATTTTTTTTTCAAACTAAAAAAACTATCAAAAAATAAAACGTTGATAGAAAATTAATATTTATAAATATGAAGAAATCTAGTTTCTTCAAAATAGTATCATTGTTGTGCTCATTACTAGTCATAATACCTATATTATTAGTACCGGCCGAAGAAGCAACAACAGACGTTGGTACAGGTATTTATCGTTTTTTTTTTTTAAAAATAATTAAATAAAGTGTATTTTTTCGTGTTGAATTATTTATATATATTATTTTTTTTTTCAAATTTAAATCATTAGTTATTGGAATTGATTTGGGAACAACATATTCTTGCGTTGGTGTTCACTTAAACGGAAGAGTTGAAATATTGGCCAATGACCAAGGAAATCGTATTACACCTTCTTATGTAGCCTTTACTGACGACGAACGTTTAGTTGGTGATGCAGCTAAAAATCAAGCTGCAAATAATCCTCAAAACACCATATTTGATGTAAAACGTTTAATAGGAAGAAGATTTTCTGATAAAGATGTTCAGAATGATCTCAAACATTTCCCATTCAAAGTCGTAGATAATGACGATAAACCTGCTATTTCTGTTAAAGTTAAAGGCGAAGAAAAACTTTTTACACCTGAAGAAATTTCGGCTATGATATTAGTTAAAATGAAAGAAATTGCTGAATCGTTTTTGGGTAAAAAAGTCACTCATGCCGTTGTCACAGTTCCAGCTTATTTCAATGATGCTCAACGTCAGGCAACAAAAGATGCTGGCGTTATAGCTGGACTTAATGTTATGCGTATTGTAAATGAACCAACAGCTGCTGCAATAGCGTATGGACTTGATAGATCAAAAGGTGAACGTCAAATTCTTGTTTACGATCTTGGTGGTGGCACTTTTGATGTCTCATTATTGTCAATTGATGATGGTGTATTTGAAGTGTTGGCTACTGCTGGCGATACTCATTTGGGTGGTGAAGATTTTGATAATAGGGTTATTGATTATTTTGCCAAATTATATAAAAAGAAACATAAGGTTGATGTCACAAAAGATTTGAAAGCAATGGGTAAATTAAAGCGTGAAGTTGAAAAAGCCAAACGTACATTATCATCTCAAATGTCAACTCGTATTGAGATCGAATCTTTCTTCGATGGCAAGGATTTCTCTGAAACATTGACCCGTGCGAAATTTGAAGAATTGAATAATGATCTTTTCCGTAAAACAATAAAGCCTGTTGAACAAGTAATGAAAGATGCAAAAATTGAAAAGTCAGCTGTTCATGATATAGTTTTGGTTGGGGGTTCCACACGTATTCCAAAAGTTCAACAACTCCTTGAGGAATTCTTTGATGGTAAAAAGGCCTCAAAAAATATCAATCCTGATGAAGCTGTTGCTTATGGTGCAGCTGTCCAAGGCGGTATTCTTTCTGGTGCTGAAAATGTTGAAGATCTCTTGTTAGTAGATGTTTGCCCATTGACTCTTGGGATTGAAACAACTGGTGGAGTTATGACAAAATTGATTCCTCGTAATACTGTCATTCCAACCAAAAAATCACAAATCTTCTCAACTGCAGTTGATAATCAACCAGTTGTATTGATTCAAGTGTTTGAAGGTGAACGTTCATTGACCAAGGATAATAACTTGCTTGGCAAATTTGAATTAACAGGAATTCCGCCAGCACCACGTGGTGTACCTCAAATTGAAGTCACTTTCGAAATTGATGCCAATGGTATCATGAAAGTTTCTGCGGCCGACAAAGGTACAGGAAAATCAGAATCTATTACAATTACAAATGATAAAGGACGTCTTTCAAAAGAAGATATCGAAAGAATGGTCGAAGAAGCTGAACAATTTGCTGAAGAAGATCAAATACAAAAAGAAAGAATTGAATTAAGAAATAAACTTGAAAATTATGTTTATACAACTAAAAGTCAATTAGATGATAATGGTGAACTCGGAAAGAAAATCAGTGAAGAAGATAAGAAAACAATCAAAGATGCGATTAAGAAAACTATTGATTGGTTTGATGAATTTTCAAGTTCAGCCACTAAAGAAGATTTCGAAGAAAAAATAGAAGAAATAGAAGCTATTGTAAATCCAATTACAAGTAAATTATATTCGTCAGATCCATCAGATGAAAAATCAACAACTGACGAGGATGATGAATTGCCAACACACGGAGAATTATAAAAAAATGGAACAAACATTTTTATTCATTTTTTTGTCAGAAATAACTTAAATATCCATTAATTATGCATATATATTCTTTCATGAAGTTAGACAATGTTCTTATTCTCATTCCAAAAATTGTAAAAATTAAAAGTCAAGAAAAAATTTTTAAATCAATACTAAAATTTTAAATTATAATATTAAAAGATGTTGAAAAGTATTCGTAATTTTGATAGCTAAATGACCTTAGCTTAAAACTTACGAGTTAGAATTTCTTTTTATATAGAAATTTTTTGTGAAATATAAATATCCAGGCATTAATTTCTAAATTATGGTAATCTTTAATCAATAATTAATAAACTTTTTTAATTTCAGATAATTATGTTGTTGACACGGTTTACCTCCTGACGATAATTTTTAAAACAATATCTTCATTATAAACATTTGTTTTTATATCTCTTTCGTAAATCGTAAAATTGATTAAATTCGATTAGTGTTAGATTATTTGTTCCGTTGAAAAAAAGGAATCTAGAGTTTACTACTACTACTCAAGTATTAAGAGAACCTTAGAGTTAATAAATTAATTCTTCATAAAATTTTGTTTTTTGTTATTTTGAACCAGTATACACATTATATCTCGTCTCGCATACAAATATGGGAGCAGTCTTCAGGATAAAACAAAAGATTTTTTCTTTATTTTTTCATAATAGCATAATAATATTTATTTAGCAATATTTTCCAATTTATAATATCCAGTTAATCAGATCGTACAGATCTAAGATCCAATATGCAAATTTTCGGGTATTTATACTTTATAACAATCACCACCTGGAAATACTACTATCAATCCTAATTTATCCCCACAAACAACCCAATATGTTGCTTTCCCAACAATTGTTTGAATTCATGGCCTGCTGTTTCTTTGGGAGTTCCTTTAATCGATCGATGAAATTAACTAGATGTTTTGAAAATGCCAGATTTATTAGTGAACTTGTCTAACAAATCCACAGGAGATAATTATCAAATGGAATTCCTTTATATTTACAAACGTCATGTTATATTTTGCTTCACATAAAAATACCTTACAACCATAAATTAAAATTCCACCCCCTCCATCAGTGGTTTATCTTCCTGATTATTCATTACTCGATTAGAATAAATTTTTATAGACGCCTTGATCTTTTCGTTGAGAGCATTCTGTATGGCCAATAAAGTTCCTTCTTCCATTGCTTGATCTTTGACTTTCGACCAGGTAACTTCCTTTTTGAGGTGAGAAGCATTGGTTCGGTAATATTGATTATATTGGATGTATTTTAGAGAAATGATGACCTTTGGGATTTCATTGTTATGATTAATAAATTCTAATCCCTTCCCGTCGGTAGGGAGAGATTCAGTATGGTATAACTCTTGCAGAACGTATGGTATGGTATGGTATAGCCCATATTTTTCCATACCAAGTCACACAAAATTTTATTCTAAATCCTTTTTTGGTGGGTGTGAAGGGAAGTATGTTAGATTTAAGCATTGGTATACAACCATTTTATTACACTTATACAATACCATACCATATGTTTTGCAAGAGTTATACCATACTGAATGTCCCTATACTCCTTCCCGTCAACACTTTTCAAAAAATTACAAAGGTCATCCTCGTTATGCATCGCATATTCTTCAAACTTTTCCAATGGTTCACCCTCACCATCATAGAATCGGATGTAAATGGTTTTTTTTAACCGTTTAATGGTGTTCTGCAACCAGAAATGGTAACCCTACTTTGTGCAGATCTTTAGCTTTCAATCCTAACAATGTATCCCTTGTCACTTTATACTTCTCAAATCAAAAACTCTTTTAGCATTTCCCAATTAGCAAATCTCTTCTTAAGAAACAAATTAACTTCTTTTGGGGATCAATCCTGAACTAAAGAACACTCAACTCTTCTGTTTGAGTTTATTGGCAAGCTAAAATGGTATTCAAGAATCGAGAAGGACTAGCTTGCTTGCTAATGGATGATAGATATTCTCTTGAATGCTGTTATGAAGAATTGGTTGGATAAATATTGTAGCATATGTGAATGTGAGATGAGCCTGCAAAAATACAAAACCACATTTGATTATACAAGATCAAGCAAGGAATTTCCACAAAATGCACAAGTTAATATTTATGGTAATTATAAAATGGAGAAATAAAATGATGGAAGAAGATAAAATGATGATGATGACTGAATTTCTAATAGTAATAATACAGGTTGATTGTTACTTGAGCACATAAAATTTAAAGACATTGGTCACATGACATTATGCCATGTCACACACAATCTCACTTTTTATTATTATTATGTAGTATTTCAACAATTCAAAAAACTTATCATAAATTTTTAAAGAATTAATTTTATTCTTTATATATGCGTACCACTAAAAAATATATTATTCCCAAAAAAATGACTACGTTTTACTCCCCATCTATAAAAGGCCTTTCTACAACAAAACTATAGGTGCTGCCCAAATTAAAAAATCAAGAATCCCAAATCCCAAATTACTTTGTACATCCCAAATGTACAAATCCCAAATAATATGGACCAGCATAGTGGACATTTGATTTCATTGGCTAAATTATGTGACGATCTCCCTTCCAGATATCACGCAAAAATTAAATTT